TCAATGAAACCGACGTTTCACCTTTTTCTTGTGAAAGTTCAATTAATTTAACATTCTTTCCTGATAATAGAAGAAAATAACGAATGACGAGAAGAAACATTTTAATTGCTTTGCGATTGGAAGCGTCAGTCGACAAACAAATGAATTGGGCTTTCTGTAAATCAAATTTGAGGCATTCCAAGTGCATGGTGCAAGAACATGATTATCGCTTCACTTTTTGTTCTTGAACAAGACAATTTTTTCATTTGGAAACAGGTCATAAGTGACTCTCAAAAAATGTTATTTTTTCTTCAAATTATCGTCGAAAACACACTTTCGTTTCGACATTTCTCAAAGTAATATTTAATTCACAAAATTATCTTATGTTTGACTTTGAATGTTGAATGAAAGTAATGAGCTGTCAGTGAACAACGCTGACGTTCGCGCCAAAATCTATTACAGAATTCAATACTTTCAAACCGAATGTAAAATGTAGAAATAGAACATATAGGGTGGGCCATCTACATTGTTGTATTTTTGTTTCATATATTGAGAAATTTTTTTTTTTTTTAATTTCTAACCAAGGGACGCTTACCTCGGAATCAGATCTAGGTATAATCATCATGAGTTAAGCGTCCCTTCATTAGAAATTTAAAAAAAAAATCCTACATATGAATTTTTAATATAAAAATTTACATCAAGCTAAGGCAAGAGATTACGCATACGCCCTGGTAATTTATATTTTTGCGGAAAACTAAATTTTTTAAAAAACTTTAATTCCATTGAAAGTTTTAAATCTTTGTTGTAGTTTTTTGAATTCGAACATGTAATCAGATTAGTATTGCATATAAGCGAAATCAGGCAATTGTGCGTTAGAATCTGCTATCCTTTATCGACTTCCAGTAAAAAAAAATTTCATGAGATTTCATCTATTGGAAGTGAAGTTATTGCGTTTTAAGTGTCAGTATATTTTTGTCATCGGTGCGAAAATGAGCTTCGAGCAAAGAGCCAACATTAAATTTTGTTTTAAAATTGGTAAAACTTTTACCCAAACGTTTCAACTGATTAAAAAAGTTTATGGCGATAATTGCCTATCTTGTAGCAGAGTGCATGAGTGGTTTCAACGTTTTCAAAGTGGTCGTGACGACATAAATGAGAAATGAGCCGATACCCAAAAAAATCGCGCCTGGAGAATTCAAAAGTGAAGACAATGCTGATTTGTTTTTATGATTCCAAGGGTATTGTCCACAAAGAATTCGTTTCATCCGGCCAAAACGTTAATGTGGTATTCTACCTTGGAGTTTTGAAGCGTTTAGTGTGCCGTATTCGACGTGTTCCGCCCGAAGATCGCGAAGATGGAAGTTGGCGTTTGTTGCACGATAATGCGCCGTCTCATCGATCGACGCTTGTGGCCGATTATTTGACCAAAAGTCACATTTTAACAATCAATCACTCCCCGTATTTACCGGATATGGCGCCGTGCGACTTCTAACTTTTCGGAAAAATGCATTTGCCGATGAAAGGAAAACGTTATGCAGACGTGGAGGTAATTTAAAAGGCCTTGTATGTACATATATTGATTTTCGACTTTGCGGCTGTCTTTAAATCGTTTATTTTGGTCAATATATTGCAATGATATGAAATTAATTTTTTTTCTTAAACATAATGAATGAAATCGGTCGAGAATGTTCGTCGAAGTCTTTTATCCCTAATATACTAATTTCCGATCCCCAAAACACGACCACAAATTATGCGCAAAAGGGTTGCATACTTTTAAGCGCATTTTCGCATATCTCAAGCAGAACAAATCAATTGAAGAGAAAGCAGGGTGTTTCAAAAATAATAATATTTGAGATACAATTTTTTTTTAAATTTAATTAATAAAAATAAATTATTCAATATTCGGAGGATAATATTAGTAACAATTTTATAATTTTGGTAAATAGCTACCCCACCTTTTGAACAGTATCTCGTTTGACTTGAACAATACGGATTTTCATTTATCTTGGCTGGCGATTTCAATATCAACTTCGCTGATAAAATCAATTTGAAAAGGAATAATGATCCACAAGAATCTACAACAAAATATGGGACTACCATTGACGCGGTATTTTCGAGATATTTAGAAAATATCAAGTCTTAAACTTATGTTTCTTATTTCTGTTACCATAAATCTATAGTTTAAATGATAAAAATTCCTGAATAATCTACATGCATTGTAATATAATAAAAATAATTTAAACAATATTAACTTCTCATTTGTGTAATAAAAGAAAAAAATGTGTTTTCTTATCAGTCACCACGCTCAAAAATTGTAACTTGAACTAATATCAAAGAAAAAAAAATACTGCATAAAAAATAAATAAATAATTATAATTGCATAAGTTGATAAAAAAAATGCTATGCAATAGATTTATCGCTGCAGTTCTCGAGTGCCACACGTACTTGTTTATTTCTAAATTTTTATATGTTCATAAATACATAAAATTAAATGTACGTGCTAAAATTAAATTGTATTTTAAACAAATTCGTAATTATACAATACATTATACTCACAAATTTCTTAATGCTTCGCTAATATTATATAATATTTCAAAATCATTCAAATGCGTAAGCAAACAACTTCCACTACACTGACCCGAATCTCTACAGCGATTACTGTTATTACACTTAAGTGTTCAAACCATTAGCGAGAACAGCGCATACATTTCAATTTAAAAATTAAAACTTTCACTGAAACTAGCATGCCACATTTTCATTATTCGTTTAAAATTTATTTTTTAATGTAAAAGTTATGTGCTTTTTTAATCCCATGAAATTTATCGATATAAAATGTACGTAATGGAAGACAATTAAAAAACATTAGCTTTTTTGCTGTTGTTGCAGCTGTAAGTTTATGTGGCAGCATAGCCGTGTCACTGGTATCTTTCGCACTTGCTACAGAGCGCACACGTATATATAAAGAATATATATGTATATAAAAACATATGTACTTATATACACACTAATGTATATATAAGAAGAACTTTAGCAAACTGCTGTCATTACGAGACAGCGATGACAGAGATAGCTGAGCGCTGAGCGTATGCCACCAACAACAACATCATAGCCATAGTACTGTTGCGTTGTGCAACACCGCCGCATATTGACAATTTCCTTCCTGCAGCCATAGCTGTGGCAGCCAATTATTTTTGTCCCAGTTTTGAAAATTATAAATTTCTTCATTAATTTTTAATTATGAACGAAATGAAAGTATGAAACTTTTTCACGCTTACGTTGTTGGCACAGCGCACGGCACTGAGCTGCTAAGGAGCAGTGTGGCGATATTCGCAGTGTGGGTATGTACTGCTTGGTAAGACGCCGAAGTGTCGGTGGTGAAACCAAAATTTAAAATTATATTTTGTTTTTGTGTTACTCTCACCGTGCATCATTTTGTTGTGGGATTTTCGTTGGTTAAAAGGCATTCGGATTTTCGATGTTTGTTATCAATTATTAATAGTAAAAATTTTGTCAAAGGGATTAACAAGTGTAACGAAGAGGTTGTGGTTGTTTGATTACGTTACCGGTTCTCTCACGTACTACAAGCATTAAGGCTGTGACACAGACTCGCTGGAAATTTGCTAAATGCTTGATCGAGGTTCTCTTCCATTGTGATTTTTGCCTTGATAATGTCTGGCAATGGGAAGGACGTAACGACTTAAACCGATTCCGAACGAGTGAGACATTTTCTACGAAGTTCTTTTCAAGCCATAAACCTTTTTGCAAGTTTAACATTGTTAACTTTGGCTGCACCGAAACTAAAATAACCTAAATAAATCTTCAAAAGTGCATATCTTTTAGTATGAAAAGGTATAAAAAGATCTTTATCTTAATTTTAATCGGTCAATTTAAATGACAGCAGTATGCTATAGTGGTCCAATCTGAAGAATATGTTCGGAGTAGGCAGCAATGTCTGTGGCAATAATCTGTGCCAAATTATTTGAATGGTATGTTGTCAAATAAAAAAGTTTTCTTTGCCCTTTTGTGGACTTCAATTGGGTCGACAGTTTGTGTGACAGCTATATCCTAGTGGTCTGATGTCGGCGGTTCCGACAAATGATCAGCTCCTTGGGAAGAAAAAGACGTGTGCAAAATTTTATATCGATTTGGAAAAGTCTCCCGTTCTCGACTGGGTCGATCCAACTTAAAGACCCTCCTTTTCTCTGGTAAAATTTATCGATCGATTGCGTTGGCTTTTATTGCGCTGGGTCATCACTCTATATTCCTTATTAGTTACGTTCAAATACGTAGAATATTTTATTGAATGCTACATAAATAGAATATGATAATGGACACTGACGTGGACAGCAAAGAAACCCTAAACAAGCGGTCCAAAAAACAAAAATTTTGAAAAAAATTGCGATTCATTTCTCAGCATAGTCTTCTTCGAGCTCAGTACACTTCACCGAAGGGTCAAATTTCTTTCATTATCTTCGTCCGAAAAATACGTTTTGTGGAGGTCTGCAAATTAGGCCTCGGTTGCGGCGATAACCATCTCATTCGACTCGAATTTCTTCTTGTTGATTGCTTGGTTTTGCGCATTTTTTCTCAAAATGGGATCGGTAGTTCGTTATTAAATCGGATCAATAATTTGGCATCGTAGAGTTCTGTGACTTTTTTGCACTTTTGCAAGTAATCGGCCTTGTTAACGCTGATCATAGAGTTTTTGGTCGATAGGACAGTCGCAAGTTCAATATGCTACCAGCAGTAAATTTCTCTAGCAATAGCAGCATCAACTGGTGGCGAGGTTAAATACTTATCACAGCACCCCGTACATCTGTATTATTTCAAATTTTAAAGCTAATTGTAGACAATACGATCTGGATACAATAGACGCTACTGTTTCGAAACATAATTGCATTCAGTCATTGCTCATTGCTAATACTTTCTGAGCTAGACGAGTAAATTAAAGTTTTTGAAAACAAAATAGTACGGAATAAAATATCAGAAATTCATTTAAAGTACACATATGGTATACTCACCAACAGCACACTTTCCCAGGCCATCCAACGTATGGGCATCGGTTGTGTTTGTCGACCGGAAGTACCCTCCAGCTGACAGTAGTCGGCCGCGTATGCGATACGATTTATCACAGTGCCAATGGAGCAGACTTTTATCGTCAATTCCGGGCCAATAATACAACTTCTGTAAATAAACAGAGCAAAGAAAAACAAATTGTATTGTAAATGAATATGCATGGCACTCAAAACCGCAATCGAAAAATTGAAAATTCAATTAAAATTTGACGATGAACGCCACAAACAACGTGAAACAACAAACATTTATAATACAATTGAAAATAAAAGAATTATCAAAATCGAAAAATTAAGTAAACAATTAAACAACAAACGTCAAACAGCTGAGCGAAAGTGGTGGTTTACCGTTTGCAGCACTGACATTTCCCTGCTTTGAGGCAAACAGTGTTTTTAACCCTCATTTGGCATGTCAGTCAGCTCGCCGCCCACCCACACACGCAAGCTCTCCGGACAACATGTGACGGGAGTTTGGCTGTTATGCCTGCAGTGTTGTTGGTATTAGCACATCAAAGCATCGAGTGTTCATTGCAGCCGGCGGTTTAACGGATGACAGACGCGGCAAACAGACGTCGGGTTGCGTTGACAGACGTCGAGTTGAAGTGATGAAATAAGAAAACAACTTTGAGCAATCAACGCAAACATTTCAACAAATATTCGGTTTATTCCCATTGAACTCGTTGCATTCGGGTGTTTGTCTCGATCTCGACACAAACACAGCCAAGTGGTCAGCGGGGTCGTTCGTTTGCACTGGGGAATGATTGTAAATATGCGATATATTCCCCATATAATACACAGAAGTTTGCTTCCTGCATACATACTACTTATCCACTTATTAACCCTCGGGCAATGTAGTAGCAAACCGAGAAATGGAAGCATTAAATCCTCCATGCAATCAACAACTCGCAAATCAAACCAGTGAAGAGTAAATAAATGAAAGTGGTGGAGTGAGGGCGTGTGCTGTGGATCGATGGGTTGAGGTTGACATGTGCTGCTTTGGGTGGGTGGGCGAGTGGTCTTTATATGTTCGGTTTGTCTTGGAGTTGTCGGAAATGCTTAATGACTTTTAAAGTGTTTCTAAAAAATTTAATAATTGATATGTTTTATAAGAATTTAAAATTCAGATAAGGTATGTGGAAAGATAAAGCAACTCAATGAAGTTGTGTAAATTTTTTGTAATTTTTCATTTTCGGTAATTGGTTTGGGGTTAAGAATAAAAAACTAAAATAAACTCTCACTAAAGCTTTTCTATTAATAGTTGAGAAATTTTGGACTAAAAAGCTAAATACTTTCATCCCTTGATCGAATACAACTGGTACAGAGCTCCACCTCGGTTAAAGCTCAACCGATTTGAATAATTTTTTATAATTATTCGGTATAATATATATATATCAAACTTAAATTTAAAAATCAAACAGTTGAAAACTTGTAATAAGGAAAGTTGCCAGATTTTTTTTTTTTTTAAAGAAACTATGTTATATTTTCAGAACACTAATGCCGAAAACTTTAAAGTTCAAAAAAAGTGTAACGAAAAAAATCGATGAGAACTATCTCTCTTCCTAATAATTGCAGAATCAGAGAAGTTTCTATGCCCTAATCGATCTTTGAGTCTCACGGTAGTACCCTAAACTATACTATTTTGTGTTCCGATTGCTAACTGTAGTACTTCAATTTAGAATTGCTGGTTTCTGTCTCAGAAGATTTCAATCTACAGGCAGTTATAGAACAGACGTGAGGTTTTGTAAATTAATCCTTATATGAAATGAGCTGTTGCATTTCTAATCTAGAACTGATCTTATCGAGATTCAGCGACTTTTAAACGTTTTATCAGTTCTTTTTAATATGGTATTGGAACATTTTTCGGAAATGGTTTTTTTAGATCTCTTATTAAGACAGTGTGATATAATAAATCTAACTTATCAAATTAAACACGCAATATAAACTGCGTTGTCAATATTAGAATCTTCCTTTTAGAGAAATGTTTAACCTCATTTATTGAGTTCCATTTGCAATTATAACTTTTTTATATTGTTCGAAATCTAGAAGATCGATAGATTGCCACGCCGAACAAGTAAATACTTCTTAGACCATAAACAGCACAAGCTTCGGTATAAATCGCACGAAATTTTTAACACCCTCTTGACAAGTTCCGATCGAAATTCAGGAATGAACAAAGTCCTGCTTTGTCCTCTTTATACTAATTAATTTTAGAGCGATTGAGAACTATAACCTCAAAAGCTTGTAAGAGGTTTTAGGAAAGACTAAAAGACAATTTTATAATCGAATCGCCGGCTTTTCGTAGACAATATACTTCTGTTAGTGATAACTCTTAAGACAAAAACCTTTAACCCCCATCTTTAAGGAGTAAGATTATCTTGGGTTTTGTCAAATTTTTCCTAGATAAAAAAAAATTAAGCTGGTGAGAACTCATTGAGTGCAAGGCTCCCAGGGTTATTCGTATTTGGAACTCCTGCAGAAGATGCAAAGCCAAATGGTACACTGGCTCTGCACAAGTGTCATCCGTCCCATACTAACATATGGTGCGTTGGCATGATGGATGGATCATAGGTTGGAACAGGGACATGGGCAGGGTTCTTTTGCAGTCATTCACACACTAAAGGCAGCTTCAAGCCAAATAACAACAATTCAATCTGTCAGGTCGAAATTGTTGGAATAACAGAAGGCGTCAAGTGGACTTCGGTTATAATCAGCAAATCCAATATAAGAGGCCGACAGGGATCTCATTTAGACAGCTTAGAACGCTGGTCCGTTTCTTGATCAAAAGACCCTCACAAATCGACCAAGCGTTATGAAGACTCCGCACCGAAGATGAGACTACCGAGATGTTTCAAACTCAGTCTTGCAAATACCGGACAGTGAAGCAGAAAATGCTGGTTTGCTGTCGGAATGAATGCTTATTTTCCTAAAAGAGGCTGCATTTCCTAGCAGGACGTCTACCGATAACTAATACTTTTTCTCCTTATTACTCTACTTTGATGAAATTATTTTCAAAGAAATTGAATGCTTTCAATTTCCATTAGGGTGCGCATTGGTGCTTTATGCGACTTTAAAGCACTGTAAATACACAACTTTTCAATATTTACGAGCGCTTGAGTGCCCAATTTTGGGGGCATTTAATACTTTGCGCTTTCTTTGACAAGCATTGACAATGGCGCTGGCACGTGTCTTTTTTATTATATCACGAACATATCCCTCAAAATTGATGTCTTAAATACATATGTGTGTAAGGTGATATGTGCGAACGCATTTTCACTTTCACCGAAATCTTTGAATGGGTAAAGTGAGCGTGCTATATACTTTTTGACATCGCAATTTAAGCACTTGCATATTTTATAAAACCTTTTACGAAAAATATTAAGTAGATATATATGAGTGTGAGCATTAAGTCGACAGTGTGATTTGACATTCCCTTGTAACAGAGAATCATTGGCTTCACTTGCAAAGGATTAACTATAGTAGAGTAATTCAGCTGACAGACAGCACATCACTTGACATTACGATGATTGCCATATTTATTGATTTCTTTTACATATATACACATGGAACCATTGTGGCTGTAAGCCAATTGCTGTGAACAGCGTGCTATCTGATACAGCTGACTGGCGTGCATTTAAGCTGCTCAAATTTAATGCTTTGCCGTTTGAAGGCCAATGCCTGAGATTAGAAATGTCTCGCAGAGGGTTAATATTAGCTGAACTTAAATGAATTTATTTATATCAAACAATAATAAACGGTGAAATCTTTTCTTTGAGAACAAACCAATTTTTTTGTGCTTATTAATATTTAAAAAAAAATATGAGTTATCCCAAGATTGAATGACGAAAACATAGTGATCCGATAATCTGAAAGAGAAAGGGAGTACTTTTTATTTAGAGGCTTACGACGTTCTGATGCTTTAAGTTATTAATACTGGTATTATATACACCACTATCAGTTAGTTTAGAGCGCCTGAAATTTATAGTACATATTTCTAAGAGACGCCATATTAATTTCCTCTTTAATTTATGCATTTTTACTCATAAGTCTTATATAGACTTAACTTTATATGATTAAGTTTTGAAGTCAATGACATCCTTGCTTTATTCAACACTGCCATTGAAATGTACTTAATTTTTACATAGACAGCTTTAAGAGTGCTTTATAAATCAGCTTTGACCGGTATTTATAAAAAGTGCTTTTTCAACCCCATATTGTTGTTGTTGTTGCAGTTTTTGTAACACCCTACAAATTCTTCAAATAGTTTTTGGATAATCTGCAGTTATGAAAATTATCAGCTCTGTTGCGATGAAGTAGATCCTACTGCCATATGAAAAGTTTATTAAAAGTTATTGCAAGATCAGATGTGGTTGCTACATACCAGATTGTCAAATACATGCAATAGTCTATAAAATTTATATAAGTTATTGGAGCTCACGCCTACCATATTACCAAGTCCAACCATAATACAGCTTTAAAAAAAATTTTAGATTTTAAGTTAGGATGAATTATAACATTATCGTAATCGATCGGATTATAGAGACTTAAAAAAACCTATAAATTGAATTAACCAGCACCATATTTTTTAATAGACGTTCCAACAATATTAAAGTGAAAATGAGTTTTGGAAAAGCTTGAGTAAATAAATACATGCGGCTGTAATAAAGCATGCTATCTACAGCATCAATATAGAATTGCAATTAATGATCAGTTTTCTGAAAATGTAAGAACGATTTAGATCACTAAGAACAATCACGACAACAGCAATTGACGAGTACCTTCACCCCTCACTTATGCTCCATTGGCTTTCTGAAGTTTGAAACTGAATAATGTTAGTACACATATATAATCTAGTATCACTTGGAAATAATTTTGGAACCGTCAATATCCTATAAGAGGTATGAACCTGAAGCCAAGTGATTACTACCTGTTCCTGTTTATACCGAAAGTTGCTGATGACTCAATAAAAGCTAAATTTAAAAAAATAAGGGGGAAAAAATTAACTGTCCCAATTCTTTGCCATTAAGTACGAGGGTATCTAAGAGAGTGGCGAATTTTAGTCAAACAACCATTGCAAAAGACTATTTCAACAAACTATAGCAAAAAAATAAAGCAGTTTTCTGGCAGCTGAGATATTCCCAGTGTTGCCATATGCCTTCAAACAAAAAAAGAAGAGTTTACCAGCGTTGAGCGTTCCTTTGGCACTCGGTCCAAATTTAATTAAAGTAGGTATGTTTTTCAATAGTGCACGCAATTTCTCGCTATTCCCCTTTAGAATTTCCTTGCTATTTACTTAAATGCCGACGTCCTTGTGACACCAACCATTTCATTTCGTTTGTTCACTGACTACATCACTTTTATTGTACACAATTATGAGTGTATTAGCGTTATTTAAATACATTCGTTGACAGTAATACACACTCTTATCTATTTATTATAACCCTGCTTATATACACACAATGGCATAAAATACGTGAACACATAAAGCATATTTCCTTAGCTAACAACAACGGCGAAAATCCTTGTACTTGTTTCGCATTCTTCCATTTCTCACATTCTCCGTTATTATATATATATATATATTCATTTCAGGGCGGGTCAAAGAAAAATAGAATTTCGAAGCATGGGTTAAAATAAGTCTATATAAGAAGAAAAAATGTCCTTGTAAGGCAAAATTTTTAGCTTAATTTAAAAAAATTCTCGGTGAGAATTCCAAAAATTCTAATTTTAATCTTAGCAAAGCTTTAAAATATACGAATTTTTGTTAAAACAAAATTACTTCAGATTGACCCTGAATAGTGTATATGGTATTAAGTTTGCCACAGAGTTTGTAACACTCAGAAAGAAATGTCGCAGACTCTGTAAAATATATATATAAATGATCAGCATGACGAGCTGAGTCGATGTGTCCATGACCGTCTGTCCGTATATACGAGAAAATTTTGGAGATATACATCTGAAATTTTGCATGCGTCCTTTTCTCCCCAAAAAGCTGCTCATTTGTGGCTGATATCGGAACACTATTAGCATCCAGCTGCCATATAAACTGAACGATCGGAATCCAGTAGTTGTATGGAAAACTTTTTTTTGACAAGCTATCTTCAAACTTTACTTTGCATAGGGCAATGGTGCAATCTCCGAAGAAATTGGTCAGATCGGATAACTATAGTATATAGCTGCCATACAAACTGAACGCTCAAAATCAAGATATACCTATATCTTTTTATACCCTTTTATGCTA